GCGGGTTCGAGTCCTGCGGTCCTGCCCGTCCCGCAGAGCACAAGCTGCTGAGCGCCGGCCCCACCGAGCCCTGGTCCATCCGCGAGAAGCTCTGCCTGGCCTCCTCCGTCATGCGCAGCGGCGACCAGAACTGGTACGGAGCGGGGAGCGAGGGGTGCCCGGGACAGAGCGCGGGGCTGGACTGTGCCCGGGTGTCACGCTGCTACAAAGATGGGCTGTTAAACACGGGTTAGAGTTGTGCCTGGACAGGCTTTTTGCTTCTTTATAACTGCTGTGTAAAAGCAGAGGTGTGTCAATCAAAGGGGGACAAGAGAGATGGAGAGGAACTTTTGGCGAGGGCCTGGAGTAATAGGCCAAAGGGGAGTGGCTTCACACTGACAGTAGGTTAAGGTTAGATATTAGGAAGAAATTTTTCCATATGAAGGTGATGAGACACTGGCATAGGTTGCCCAGAGAAGCCGTGGCTGCCCCATCCTTGGAAGTGTTCCAGGCCGGGTTGGATGGATCTCTGAGCAGCCTAGGCTAATGGAAGGTGTCCCTGGCCATGGTACGGGGTGAAATGAGATGGTCTTTAAGGTTCCTTCTAACCCGAACCATTCTGAGATTCTGTGTTCATAAAATGGATGAGATGAATTGTGGCCACGAGGATATTTGATGACAGATTCCTATAGCACTGGACCTGTAGCTCTGTTCTGCTGCCTTTTTCCCCTCTCTAAAGGGTTTTATGGAAGTATAATCATGTCAGCAGAAGCTACAAACTTGCTCTTCATAGCAGTGAAGCAGGCAAATATTTTTGAGTCTTGTACTTCATACTTTAATAATTCCCAAACATAACAGCTCCTTGCCAAGTTTATTGTATTTTGGGGGGTTATTCAATGATGTCAAGACAGATCATCATCTTTTCTGTGCATGTTGCTTGGGGAAGAAAGTAAGTTGATGGTGAATTGCCGTTTCTCTCCCTCAGGGTCTCAGTCAGCAGAGCCATCAAGCCTTTTGCAGAGCCAGGACGTCCACCTGACTGGTTTTCCCAGAAGGTAGGATGCTGACATTGGAATGTTGGAAAGAAATCAGTTCTGCAAGGAATATGTAAGGCAGCTGCCTAAAAGAAAGTATTTATTGTCTTAAAAACAGATAGCAAAATCAGTTTTGAAAAAGTCAGTTTTATTTCAGACATTAAATAGTATTTTTCTGTTTGTGAAATTAAACTTGAACTTACTGTAATGTTGGATAAAGTTAAGAAAAGGATATGGATGGTCAAAGACATGAAATAAGTTTCTTCTTAAGGTATAGCAAAGTCAAGTAAGGTAAAATCCTTGATATAAAAAATGAGTGACAGGAATACAACAGATCTCTGCACAATCAGAATTGCCACGTTGAGGATGAATAAGGGTTAGTTGTTCGGTGCTTTGTCCAGTAGATGATTTAGAGGCTGTTAAATAAGATTAACAGGAGGCAGGTTCAAGGCAAACCTGAAGAGATTCTTCACCAGGCATGTGATTACCCTGTGGAATTTCTTGCCCCAGGAGTTTGTGGTTGCCCATGGAGTTTAGTGAGTCCTGCTGAGACTTTTATTGTATGAGGGACAGAAAGAGATTAAGAACCTGAAGGGAGGAGAAGTTTTTATGTTGCTTATTCTGTCTGTTGGGCAGTGAAATTGGCCTTGATGTAATGTTATTTTGTCTTTTTCAGTTAAATGTTTTTGTTCAGTTGGAAACATTTCAGCTGCAGTTTTTGCTTGCTTTGATTTCTGAATTGTTAGTTGGGAGCATCCTGTTCTTTGGCTTTGTTTTTGCTTCCTTATTGTGAGCTGCACTGAATTACAGCCATGGGGGAAACTGTGGAGAAAACTGAGATCTGTTCACCACATTAGGCCTCTGAAAAAGTAGGAGTGAGTGCCCTGTGGACTTTGTTGATGGGTGTTACTCAAGCTGAGTCTTCAGTGTCCTCTGACTTCCTTTGTTTCCTCTTAGCACTGTGCATCTCAGTACTCAGAGCTCTTGGAGACCACGGAAACCCCTAAGTGAGTACAAAGCCTGACCCAAGCACAGTCTGCAGCAATTTGGGTGGGACTCCTGGATTCTTACAGCAGAGTCCTTGTTACTGTTACCTTCCTTTCTTCCTCAGCCAACTCCTCCCAGAAGGAGTGTGCAGGAATGAGGACATTCAGCTGTGAGAGCTGTTGAGGGTGGACAGTGGGATCAGGGTGGGACAGATGAGGGAGATAACAAGTATTTGACTGGAATAAAACACTCACTGTTAGTTTTACAGATCAGAAGCTTTACACATAAAATTCTCATTGAGAACAAGGTAGAAAGGATATCAGCAGTGAGAAGAGGAAATGTTATCTGTCTGTGTTTGGCAGTGGTTTCTTACAGTTTCCTTAGCAATGCTCTCACTGCAGCTTTGTGGGCTCAGATATTTATTGCTCCTAGTTCCAGGCATTTTGTTTGGGGGTTTCACATCAAATTAACTTAAAGGTGGGATGTTTAAAAGTAGCATTTGTGATAGTCTTCACACTAGAGTTGTAAAATCAAAGGACTTGGTAGAATTAGTAAGTTAAAAAAATAGATGTTTCTTCAGGGGTAGTAAGAATCTTCTCTGAAGTGGAATGATTGATTGTTTTCAGGTTGAGAATTCTCAGTGGGTTTTCATCTTTGACCTGTTCCTGAAGCATTTAGCACTGGGTATATTAGATAACATTTTCAGAAGAGACTGAACATTGTGCTGCCCAGTATCATTTAAGGGAACTGGAGGAAGTTTATTCTTTGTGCATGTGTGTGTGTCAGGAATGACAGGCATTTATGAAAGGGGAGCTGTGGTTTGCTGTGCTTTGTGTCTGAACTGGGGTATTTGCTTCTGTTCTCTAGGAGAAAACGTGGTGAGAAGGGAGAAGTTGTGGAAACTGTGGAAGACGTTATTGTGAGGAAACTGACTGCAGAACGAGTTGAGGAGTTGAAGAAGATTATTAAAGAAACACAGGAAAAATACAGGTATGTGGCAGAGGCTTTCAGCTGTACCTGTGCCAAGCTGTGGCACAGCTGAGTGTCCTGTCCTGGAAGAGCTGTCTGAATGGAATGGTGATTGGGGTGAAAATGCTGCTTAAGGTGTCCTGTTGAGTGATCAGTAAGAAGCTTTTCTGATTACAGGCAACTGAAGAAGGATGCAGAGCTGATCCAGGCTGGACACATGGATAACAGACTGGAGGAGCTGTGCAATGAGATTATGATGTGTGTTATTTAATTATTTCCACATTGTGCTTTCTTACGAGATTGTAGTTTCCTGATACTGTCAGGCACCACTTGCTCCACATGCTTTGGGTGAAGGGAAATGGGGCAGTGGGGCAGGTGCTTGGGCATCTGAGGGGAGACTTAGCTTAGTCTGGGGGATACAGTGTTTGGAGTTGCTTAGTAAAGAGCTTGGTGATGGCTTGCAGCATCATGCTTGCTCACCTGGAAGTGGAATTTCCTGTCCAGTGTGGAATTCTCTGGCTCTGCTTCCCTCCTCAGGGGAACTGAGCCTGAGTCCATCCACAGGAGCAGCTCAGTGTTGTCTGGAGATAATAGGGTGGGGGTCAGTAAGCTGATTGTGATGGAAGAACTAATGGGAACTGAGACACTCTGTGACAGCAGCTTTTGGTTTGGTACACAGAAAGAAAAAGATGGAGGAGGAGGAGGCAGAAGTCAAGAGGAAGGCTACGGATGCTGCTTATCAGGGTAAGCTGGAATGTGCTGACTTCCCTTTGCTCAGAAAGAGATGCACATATTCATAAAAGCATTTGGAAAAGACTTGTTAGACTTGTGGGAGGAATTCCATGACCCTAGAGTTGGAGAGAAAGGTATATTCTCTTCCCAGCACTATATTTGTAACAGGGCCAAATGCAGAGGCTCCTGAGAAAGGAAATAGAGGAGGTGTCTTTAAGGGGCTGCAGGATTAGCAAGAAGCTCTGTGGTAGAATGTCAGGCTTTTCACCCCTCTGGCTTTCCCTATAGCTTCACTGGTGTCTGAAGATCAGAAGCACTTATTCTGAATGTTTAATTCCTGTATAGCTGTTTGGGCAGTTAATTCACTTAACCTGTGGGTGGTGGGAGGTGGTGAATACTTAAGAGCTAGAGAAACCTGAAATGGGAGTGCATTACCCAAAGCTATTTGGGAGCTGAGCCTAGTGGGATGCAAGAAATTGCTGCAGTATAAATCATTTCCTTAAGGTTCTTCAGGATTAAGGCAGAGGTAACTCCCAAGGACAGTCCAGGATGGAATCACAGAATCTCACTTTTGTTTCTGCTCTCCTCCAGCTCGTCAGGCCATTAAGAATCCTCCACGCAGACTGACCGGAGTGATGGTTCGCTCCCCCGCCGGCTCCACCTCCCCTGGGGGGGAGTATGCCCTGGGAGATCTGTCCCAGCCTGCTGGGGATGAGGCCAGTCCAGGGGTAAGGATCCTTATCTGGCTAGGAGGGAAGGAGCAGCTTGGGACATGGGGCTGTGCATCCATCCCAGAGAAGGGGCCTGGGGAGAAGCCCTTGCCTTGCTTTGCGGACCTGCGGCTGCCGTAGTGCTGTAGTGTGGTTGGTGCACAGTGCTGAGATCTGTGTCCCCTCCCATGTCTCTGGTGATCCAGTGCCTGAATCAAAAGCTGTGTAGGGGCCTCAGTGGGTTGGCCAGGCAGTCTGCTGTGAGTGCCTGGGAAATGGCACTGCAGGGCAGGGAAAGGGTCCAAACACGTGCGTGGAGTAGGTGCAGCGAGTGAATGCAGTAGGTGTCTGTGGTGTGCTGGATCAGTGCTCTTGGGGGAAGCAGCAAGCGGGGCTGGTCCGTGTGGTGGAGTGTGGCTTTGAACAGTGTGGTTTTTCTCTTTCTCAGGTCACGCCAGGGACATTGCCCAGCACCCCAGTTGCCTCCTTCATTGGAATCCCTGACACCCCTCCAGGCTCTGCTCCCCTGGATGCCCCCATGACCCCAGTCACTGATGATTCACCCCAGAAAAAGATGCTAGGACAAAAAGCAACTCCGCCTCCTTCCCCTCTGCTCTCAGAGCTGCTGAAGAAGGGCAGTCTCCTGCCCACAAGCCCCAGGCTGGTATGGAGCTCTCTGCTCATATATGCAAGCACACAAACAATTTGCTCCAGACTCTCCCACTGAAAAAGGGGGAGCTGCAAAGGCTTCTTAAAAACGTGCAGTTTTGTCAGAGTCCCAACAGAAGCGATATCTGAGAGATATAATTACCCCTGTGAGCCACAGAGGTGGGAGCCTTTCCCAGCAGGACTGCAGGGATCATTCAGCACAGAGGATTGACTGTCTCCCCTCAGTCATAAGGAGCTGGAGTTGCAGGCTATGGTAGAGGAAATTGTTCTCCTCAGCGGAGAGAGCTCGTTAGTCAGCACCATCCCCTCAGCCTCCATGGAGGTGTTCTTGGTGATTTCTTTGGGCTCACAGTTCTATACATCTTTGCAGGGAGTTGTCTTTCAGTATTTGTAATGTGTCTTAGCATAAGAGTAGAGAATCCTTTAATGGGGTTTATGATGATATTGAAGTGCTTCAGTTTTCTCCTAGTTGTGTAGACAAGTCTTAAAACCACTGCGATGAGAACCCACTTGTGATATTAGTGACACTGGAAAGGAGATGCTGACACTGAAAACAGCAGCTACCAGCCTGCCTGTGGCATGGATTCCCTGTGTTAGTGCTTGTGTGATGGAGTAGGTGTGTTGCTGTTGACTTTTTTGTTTGTAGTCGTCAGATTTAGAGTGTTTTCTATTTGTTAGCTGGAGTGGATGTTCTGTGGGTTCTCTGTTTGCAGGATGCAATGTAACATAAGGTGGAACAGGGAAAGGTAATGGCTGTGGAAGTCTGGGTGCTCTTTGTAGGAGCAGGACTTGGTTTACATCTGTTTCAAGGTCCATCATAGGTTCACTGTGTGACCTTGATAGAGTTACTCTCCATCTTGGTGCTTCTTCGGCTCAAAAGAAGGGATATTTCCATGCCATCTCAGGTGGTAGAGAAACTTGTGTGTGTAAAGGACTGTGAGGTCCTTGAACAGAGGAACTAAGGTAAAGCAATGATGTATTTGGCCTAACCTCAAAGGAAGGTGGCACTGAAGCAGAGCAACTAGTTTCAGGCTCTCATGTTGTGCACTTGAATGTGGGGCCTCAGGCAGGGACTAGCCTGGATGAAAAGTGCCAAAGAAATGCTGAGACAGCAAATGCTGGACCTATCCATGGAGGTGCACATCTGGCAGAGAATCACTGATGTGGTGGTGTCTCCGGGAACTTCAGTCTCGTCCTCCTTTGACAGGTCGGTGAAAACGAAATGGCAGTGGCTTCTGGTCACATGAACAGCTCAGGAGTGCTGCTGGAGGTAGGAAGTGTCCTTCCAGTGCTGCACAGTGGGGAAATGCAGTCGGCACCTGGTGCTGTCCCTGCATCTCCTGCTGCTTCAGGTAACTCTGACCTCTCCTTACACACTTCTCCCTTATGATGTACCTTCAGACTGTTCTGTGAATTCTCTTTGGAGAAGGATGAAGGACATCTAGCCTGGCTGGTCTGGGGGCTTCTTCATGAGTTATATTCCTATTTCTGTTCCTCTCACCCCTACTTTAAGAAGACCCCAATCCTCACAGAAGAAAAGAGTGACTGAAACAATTAGACTTCATTCAATCTTGATCCAGGCAGTCTAGATTTTGGGTTTGATGCTGGCTAATAACAGGCATTTTTGTGTAAAAATAGAGTGTTTGTTGACAGAGCTGGGGGAAAATGGTCTAATGTCTAATTCCTAGTGTGTCAAACTCAGCTCCCTGTGGATCTGGAGAACTCATGTGCCTTCCCTCTGCTGTAGCTCAGTGCTCTGTTGAGTTAGACCACAGAGGGCTGTGAGCTCCAGAGTGGGGGTGAGAGTAACAGTGCAAGACTCTTTGCATTGGGCTTTTCAAAACAACCTGCCTAAGGTGAAGTTTATTCTCAGCTCCTGCTCACCAGTGGTTTAATCCCAATATCTGCAACTGGGGATTTATGTCATTCATTCATACAGAATTCCATACAAGTAATCTCCCTTTCCTTATCCATGTTTGTTCTTTTAAGTCCTGTTAATTTGGTCCAGACAGTTCAGTAAATTCAGACTGGAAGTTCCAGCTGAGATGAGTGGCAACCTTTGATGTAAGAAAAATTCCCCAGGAAAAACCTGCAAAGAGATCCCCTCAGCTCCCTCCCAGCTCCTGTGATGACTGTTTGTCTTGGCTTACCTTGTGTGGCTCTCTCAGCACTGTTTTCCAGATTCCCCATATTTGTATTGGGATGAGCCTTTGGAAGGGCATCTCTGTGCATGTGTGGCTTAGTCTGTCCAGCCCTTGTGTTCCATAGCTGCATGATTCTGCCTCAGACTGCAAACACAGAGGTGTCATGTGGATTTCGTGCAGGTTCTCTGTACAGCTTGTGGGACTGTTTATAGGTATCTCTCAGTGTCTTTTCCCAGAAGAAGCCACCAGACAGTGAAGAGCCCAGTGGTGGCTTTGTGGACTTGAGTGGTGGCTGCTTCTTGCTCATGTGCTTTTCCCTTCTACTCTCTGTTAGGTGCTCCTACGCTTTCCCGGCTTTTAGAAGCTGGTCCTGCACAGTTCACCTCACCTCTTGCTTCCTTCTCCGCTGTTGCCAGCGAATCTCCAGCTAAACTCCTGCCACCCCCAGTAGAGCCTGTGTCCCAGGCAACTATTGTCATGATGCCCACGCTGTCAGCACCATCCGTTGTGCCACCAGCTGCAGCTCCAGAAAGCGTAGCCACAGGTGCGTTCCTGAACTACGCACTTCCTGCTGGAAGGCAGAACTTCCCGTGGGATCAGCACCTGGCAAGCTCTCAGCTGGGCTTTTAGCACCCCAGATTCACCATCCTGATAGTTGTGGTTGGGGTCTGGATGGTTTCAGACAGGGTGTGCTGGGTGGGGCGCTGGTGGTTTGCTGGATTGTGGTTGAAGGGTTGGAATCTCACTCGGTGTCTCCTGTGGGAAAGCAAATCCGTATTTGGCTTTATATATCTCAGTGTCGTGGGTGGGCCTGGGATACTTGTGGTTGGTGTGTGATCTCACCTGCTGCAATGTTTGTTTCTGTGGGCTGGGCTTCTCCAGCTTGCCCTCTGACTGTCCCTCTCACCTCTGTGCAGTGAGCCAGCCAGAAGCCTGTGTTTCCATGGAGGCAGTGTCAGATTCCCATACTGTGACAGTGTCCATGGACAGCAGCGAAATATCCATGATCATTGATTCCATCAAGAAAGAGTGCTTGGGTTCTGGGGCTGGCAGCACTGCAGGGTCTTCCAAAGATCACTGCATGGATGGGAAAGAAGATCTGGATTTGGCTGAGAAGATGGATATTGCAGTGTCCTACACAGGGGAAGAGCTGGACTTCGACACAGTGGGAAATATTATCGCTATCATTGAGGACAAGGTAAATGTGCCAAGCAGAGTGTCAATGCCCTTTGCTCCATATTCAGTTGAGTTTATCTCACATGATTGCTGTTCACCAATTTTGTTAGTTTAAACAAGCAGGAAATAACTACTCCAAACTGCACATTCTCCCCATCAATAGGAAGTGACCCTGTAACACCACTGCTGCCAGTCTGACAGGTTCAGCCTGGGGCTCCTCCTCAGCGTGCAGAAAGAAATCTCTCTCTTCTTCATGGTGGGTAGGGTTTGGGTCACATCTCTGGCAGACAGATAAGTGCTGCTCACAGCATACCCTCCACTAGTGCCATATGCCTGAAACTGTAGTTCCACAGGAGACTTCACAGGGAGTGGTAAAAATCTGGCTGTGAAAGGCAACTTTGTAAACCAAGTACTGTGTGTTTTCCACAGTTGTCTCAGTACCAATAACATGAACTGTTAAACTTTAATCCCTTTTCTGACCTTGGCGTGCACTGCTGTGTGTTTGTTTTGACAATGAAGGTGGATGACCACCCTGAGGTCCTGGATGCAGCAGTGGTTGAAGCTGCTCTGTCTTCTTTCTGCGAAGATACTGATGACCCTCAGACCCTTCCTGGCCCCTGGGAACACTCAATTCGTCAGGAGCATGAGAAACAGGCCCAGATACCCCAAGTGTCTGTGACTGTGAAGCAGGAGAGACTGGAGTGTGAGGAGCCAGAGGCAAAGGGAATTCGAGACCTAATGGGCATTGGCGAGCTGGGATCAGAAATAAAGACAGAACCTGCAGAGCAGGAGCAGAGTCAGCTGGGCCCTGAGGAGACCGTACCAGCAGCTGCAAGAGGGTCAGAAACACCAGAGCTTAGAAGTCAACAGATAGAAGAAGATCAAAGAGCAGCTGTAACAGCAGGAGAGACTTCTGAAATCGAGATGGAGTCGTCCAAAGGAGAAGATGCAGTGCTTAATCCAGTGAAGACAGAGGTATGTGAGCAGAGAGGCTGTCTGGAACTGGTGTGGGGAAAGAAAGGAGCAGTTGTGGCAGGTAGGACAGAAGTTTAGAGGAAGGATGACTGCTGGGTTGAAGGTGACCCTTCAATGGATGTGACTGACTGTCTTCCTGGGAGTCAAGCAGCTGCTGTGCAGAGCAGCTCTGCGTTAGGCAGTACCTTGGTGTATCTCCCCCCACCCATGTGCAGAATTGCTGCTGGGAAGGTGCTCAGTGACCCTCATTGCCTTGAGTTAGGTTAGGGTGAGTGAGATGTGCCCACACCTTCACTGAAGTAAGCTGACACAAACATCTAGATTTGTGCATTTCTCTTCCCTCCAGACCCCACCTGATGATGATTCATCCCCTCCACAAGTCCCAAATGTGAGTGAAGACTCCTCACAGGCTGATGTTCAGCACAAATTTGAGCTGTCAGGTAACTTAATTCAGCTAGGAAATCTTTTACATGCAACATTATTAGCTGGATAGTTGTTAGTGATCTGGTTCAGGTTTTTTGGGGAGGAGGGAGAAAAGACGTGTAGGAACAGTGGTGATTACTGCAGGACAGTAGGCATTGGTGCAGGAGCTTTTGTAGGAAAAACTACTTTGGAGAGTCAACCTTTCTGCATTTCTTCCCTTCACAGAGTCAATGAAGGAAGAGGCCCAAGCCCTGTTTAGGAGTCAGATGAAGGTAATTCTCAGTTGGTTATAGTCATCTTGAGTTTATTAGCAACATCTCACTGCTGCTGCTGCTTCTTGGCTCCCATTTGCTGAAAGCAAAGCTTGTGTTCAACTTTCTGCACAGAGAAGCAGTGTGCAGCTGGAGCTAAAGGGGAGATTGCTTCAGGCTGTAAAGCTGTGTATGTGCTTTGGGTCTGTGGGGGAAGGCAGGCAGGCTGCAGTGACTGGGATGTGGTGGAAATGCCTGGACAATTGTCACATCAACAAGAACATCACTTTGCTCACTGAACCATAGTTGCTGTGGCGGCTCGGAGTCACTGCTGTAACTGGCTGTGCAGGCTCATGGGCTCTGTGTTTCAGGATGGGCAGGGTGAGGAGGATGATGAGGACGGTGCCAGTGAGGCTGCCAGTCTGGAGGAGCCCAAGGAAGAGGATCAGGGTGAGGGATATCTGTCAGAGATGGATAATGAACCCCCCGTGAGCGAGAGCGACGACGGCTTCAGCGTCCACAACGCGCCTCTGCAGTCCCACGCGCTCGCCGACTCCATCCCCAGCAGCCCAGCCTCCTCGCAGTTGTGAGTGTCAGGGAAGCCTTTGGGCACACAGATCCCACTCTGGTTTGTGCAGGGAGTGTAGGATTCTCATTCCTATTGTGTTGAGTGGGTCCAGAGGGGGAATTTGTTGATGGTTTGTCTGGTTCTTGCTTAAAAATGCAAGTGTGCAGACAGCACCCTGGTACAAGCTCCCACTTTTTCCTTTCTATCTTTGGCATGGATTAGCATAAGCATGCCGAAGGCAAAATGAAGCATGAGTTCTGTGCTCTGAGGCAGTGTGCAGACTGCTGAAGGAAGTCTGGTCTTCCCTTTCCAGCTCAGTGTGCAGTGAGGACCAGGAAGCGATACAGGCCCAGAAGATCTGGAAGAAAGCCATCATGCTAGTTTGGAGAGCAGCAGCTAATCACAGGTGAGTTTGATGTGTAGAATTAATCACTTCATTCTGCCAAGACAAGTCTCCACTCCCCCATCTCAGAAGCTTATCTCTCTCGGTACCGGGAGATGATGAATCATATTGTTACAGACAAATAAACAGGAGAACATGAAACAAATGTTCACCAGCAGGGATGGGACACTCAGTGGACTCTTTCTCCCTGCAGGTATGCCAATGTTTTCCTCCAGCCTGTAACTGATGATATAGCACCAGGCTACCACAGCATTGTGCAGAGGTGAGTCTCACAGTCGTTTCTCATTAGAACTTCACGTATTTGCATATATGTGTAGGGATTTCTGGCAGGAACTATGTAGGTTTTGCCTGCCATGCAGACTGCAATACTTGGTAAATGATTTTTCCTCTGATATGACTCAGTGAGAAGCAGATTTCCCCAGGAAAAAGGTCATCTTCAGTAACAGGCACATGTCTGTACACAGCCCTGACTTTCAGTGAAGTACACTGACTTACACACAACATTTTTATCACTAAGGTGATCTGTAGCTGATCCGTTTCTTCCAGTTTCTGTCCAAGGGTAGGATTTAACCTTTGAAATTCCTAAGAATTGTCTTCTTTAATCAGCATCTTTACTGTCCCAGATGCGTGGATTTTCTGGAAGAATTACCAGAATCCCCCTGCTAGCTCCCAAAACCTCTCCTAAACAGTTCAGTGGCTGCTTAGATCTCCTTCAGTGATACCTTGAGCCATCTCTTGGGCTCTTGTTGCCATTCCAGGTATCTGCTGGACACCTCATCTCTTCTGACCCAGGCCTTGGTGCTCAGGAGTACAGCCTGTGTGGGGGAGAACCTGTTCAGCTAAATTAAATGGACACTAACTAGACATGTCACAGACCCA